TTTTTTTAAACTTCTGGTATTTATCTTGGGCAGTTGCTGATGGTGTTCTGGTATCTCTCTTGTTAATTCTGAAGGGTAGCTCTTCTAGGGCAAGGTTGAGGTGGTGTTGAATCATGACTCAGTGATGTAAAATATCCAGGTATTTCATCTGCAAGGGGAGCTCAGAAGTCTTCTTTTTCTAAGGGAAAACTTTGTATCTGGCAGCAAGAAGTTCAGATAGTTTTTTGTTATCCTGTTTTTGATGAAGTTACTTTCTAAGCAACTGTCTGCAAATACCAGCTTGTGTTATTTATTCTAAGGGGTGGTGTTCAGGGAGGGTGAGCCCTCACCATAACTATACCAAAGAAATAGAAAAGTAACATAGAATGGAATRCAAGGATTTGGTCTGTCTGGTTTGACTGTTTTTTGCTTTTTTGTTTCTGATTCCCATGGCCTAGAAACATTGTAGAGTGGAGTCTCTGTGATTTGAATGCTTGGCCCTTCCACAAATTTTAACAGCAGACCAGCAGTGYTGGAATGACAGTGTGGTCTGAATACCAGGGGGAGATTTCTCCCAGTGTTTTGAAACTTTTTCACTGACACAAGAAAACAGCAGGGTGGCCARAAATGGATGGGGAGTTAATGACAGGAGCTATGGGTTCTCCAGCAAAAGCAGAGGTAAAAGGGTTGGCGGGCTCAAAACCAAAACACAACCTCCTCATACYCCTAAGGCTCTGAAAACCTACTTAGTTTTGATTAATTTTAGTTTCTGGTGGCAATATTTTCTGCTTCTGACRCTGAGAACACAGGACCTTTCTTCTTATAATCAAATAGTCAGTGGGAGTGTGTATATTAGGATGAGACTAATAGTTTTTTYAGGACTGTTGATAAAATCTCATGCTATTATAGCAGTTAAGTAYGGACTGTTTGACATCTTTTGTGTTTAGTATGACACAATTTTCTAGGAATCAATTATGGAGACAGATGTTTTGTATGTCAAATCAAGGTGTCTGGATGAAAATTCTGAGGGTAACCATGGGAAAGATTAATGCTTTCAAAATATGTGGATGAGCCAYACTGTCAAAGAGTCCAAAGCAAATTCCCATACTCAGGCTCTTTCACTGCAGGCAAGATACTTGAAATGCAGATATTATAGCTGAGACCTATCTCTGTTAAAACCAAAATTTGAAGAAATTRTCACATTAAGAACAAATTTTGCATTGCAATGCACTATTTGTACTTGAAAAATCTGTCTGCTATGGGCTGGAAACAACATAGTGCAGTTCTAATGTCAGGGATTTGCTTTCATGTGTTATACACAGACACATACACATTGTCTACGTTGCAGAAACCTAAGCCTCTTCAACCAACACGTTTACTGTTTATCAGATGCAAAAAAAATTATTGTAGAATTGGGATGAATTAATCTGTTAGTTTTGCAGGTTTCTCTGTRGCTGTTCAAAGAGTCCTCCTATTTCACTTATTTCAGTGATTCGTCAAGTTTATTCTTCTATCCCTGACTTTTATCTGAAAACATTTCAGTGTAATAAGCCCTGATATGTTTAGGTTGTGGTGCAGTTTCTTTCTAAAAAATGCTAGACTCTTATGGCTTGCACATCAAATATTTGTGATTATAGAGCAAAATGTTGTTGCTAAAGCCAGGTAAATGATTTATTATTCATAACATTATTTATTAACTGAATAAAATTAATTAAAATAATTAATTTTTAGGTTTAGATGGAGTATAGAGTAATATGTGAATGAATATGTTGCCTTCTTGACTACTTAAGARAAGCATTATTCTTCCCTTATTCCCTTAATTCTCTACTGATAACACAAAGGAAAAAAAAATCATGAATCCTTCCTCTTTTCCTCCAGGTAGGTAGGTCAGGAAGAAGCTCTTGCTTTGCTCTCTTTTAATAAATCATTGTCAGAATAAGTTCCGTATGACTACATGAAAGCTGGAGAGCTCATTTCTTACTCCCCCGGKTCCCAGCAGACATGCAGATGTGTGCACAGGGGTGCAGTCCAATACACATGCCCTCGTTATGCTTAGTGAGACATGGTGAACAGTGCCAGTTTTCCTTACTTTTATGTATTCATTAGTTTGAAAAAACTAACACTGAACTTCAAAAACTGGCTTTATATATAGCTCCCCATAGAAAATCTCTTATTATTTTGCAAGTGAGGGACAAGCTATTTAAATTGCAAGATTTGTATTTATTTTGCTGTTTTCTCTGGCTGGCAAACTGTTAAGGAAACTAAAAATGGAGGAATAAACACTCATAAGACCCAAAGGTAAAAAAAAAAAAATAAAAAAAAAATCCTAATTTTGCACCAATTACCTTAAACTTCTTAAATACTGAAAAGTACAACCTTAAATGTCAAGTGTTTTCCATTAAAAATTATTTTGTTCAATTTATTTAKTCATCTGTGTAGGCTGTTCTGTGCACCCCGCATACACACATGTGAACACACACGTACATAATACACACATGGTAAGTTTGTAGTTGTACAGTTAAAAGAGTTTTGAGGAAAATGTATCCTGTTTACTGCTTAGCTATGTGAACAATGTAGAACTGCAATACAAGTCTCAGAAATATCCATCCCATTGCTTTTTATYACTGAAGAAAGTAGATCAGGATGATAACAGCTGGATGCAAAAAGCAATCATATTTTCAGTATAAAAATAGTGCTACTGCTTAGTAAGCTATACTCCATAAACGTATTAGGGGGATATACTGGCTTGCCCTGGATGGTTTTATTTTTTTTCCTTAAAAATATCTTTTGTTTCCACCCCCCACTAAGAAGAAAGGAATGTTTCCCATTAAGACMTGAAGTGAGTTTGTTTTTCACTTTTGCCTTTTATATAGGGATACTGAATATAAAGGACTCCAGCTCTCCCTGGATCAGGTCACTGCTACCAAGCCGGCATTCTCATACGCAAATTCAACTCCGACCATAACGGATAATAGAAAGGGAAGCAAATCTCGCCTCTCGAGCACAAAGTCAAAATCAAGGACATCACCATACCCACAGGTAGCTGTCTTTGAAAAACTAAATTAAATATTTTTGAATATCTTGATTTTGACTGCTACTTACCCAAGTAACTAGAATGGGCTGAAGAAYGTGTTACTCAAAGGGAGTAAAGGACAGCAGGTTACACAATCTTGAGACAGGAATATGTTTCTTTAAACAGCTTCTAAAAAGCTGGAAACATTTATATTTCAGCATGCATAAGAAATCATTRTCAACAACAATAGCAGTACAGGGCTCAGAGTTAATGAGAAGYGGACAGAAAGGCAAGTGAAAATGTTGGTTTAGAAATACTTGGTTTGAGAAGAYAATGAGTTTTGCCATTTGAGAAATCTTGCTTTTTCTCACTCTGTATTTACTAATTCCAACATATCTAGAAAGCTGCCAGATAGTTAATAGCAGTTAATACTGAAATTACTGTCAAGAGGAGTGACTTTTGAGGAGGGAAAGCAGTCAGCCAACTTGCTGAATGGGAACAAGAAAGTRTATACTTTCCTGTGTATAAAACTTTGAAAGGAAGAAAACAGTAAGGAGGTGGTCATTGGCATCAGTAGCTTTTAATTTCCCAGATTTCGTTTTCCAGCCTAATGTGTAAGGAACGTGTTCCTGCTTGGAAAATGGACCAGACTCRATTGGGTCTGCGAACTGAAACTTACCCAATACATTTGTGCAGCTGATTTCTTCAGGCAGTGTCACAGCACTTGCATCCCTTACACTGTAAGACTTTTAGCTCAAGTAAATCTGTTTGTTAAAATAACCATGGCGTTTACTAATGATACAATTCTTACTGCTCTTGTGCCTCTACATGGTGCATATAAATGTATGCATCCATGATGTAACATTGAAGAGCTATGTACTTTTAAAGGGCCTGGGTCAATATTTAACTGAAAATTATCTTAATAACTACCGTTTCTCTGCCGGCACAATGTTTTCTAAATGGACCTCTAAGCATGTATAATTTGATCCCCAATGTCTGCATCACTTCCTTATTTTCTTTCCTTTCCCCTCAAAGGCACCGAGGGTAAAAATTTCATTTAAATGACATCTGCTTTTGTCACAGGGAATATTTAACTGAGCACCTAGATATKAATCCAGATTCCTAATTTAAGAATCAAATTTTTGTCAGAGGTTGTAATAGCTCACTTATTCATTCATACATGCATGTTTCTGCGGGTTATTAAAAAAGCCTTTTTCATGAATGCACTACATCAAACAATTGTTATCCAACTGTTTAAAAGAATTGGGGAAGACACRTATAAATAATTCTAAATTCAGTTTTAATGACTATCTCTGATATTCTGTAATTACATTTAATCTTGCCTTCCTTTCCAAAGTACTCATTTACTAGCAGGACAATCCCAGCTGAAGACTTGTTATGCTTTTGCATCTATCTGATTTCTGAAAGTGTGACCTCCTTATACTTTCTGTCACCACAAAAAATACTGAATGAGCAGTGCAGCATTGTGACTTTTGGTTTATCAGCAATTGTCTGAAAGCTGAAGGGGATTAGTTTCCAGTTTCATTTTGCATCCTCATTACCAGCTGCCTATTAAGGTCACATATTTCATCATTCAAAAAGAAGCAGACACGGTGGTTGCCATTATCTTGAAAAATGGTCATGCCATTCATTGCAGCCCATCACCACAAGTAACACTGGCAGCTTGGCTTTGCCTCCCTCTCATCCTTCTCCACTGCTGAATGAACTGTTGAAAGACTAAGAGAAGCTGTTGTGAAGAACATGCAGCAGGTGGCACAGCCTGTGTCCCTCAGTCTCCTGCCCATGTAATTTGCCAGTCAGTAGAGGAGAATYAGAGTGTGACTTAAAAGTTGCAGCTGAAAAGCGAGGTCACGGGGTTTGGCTTACACAGGAGCCTGAGTTGTTGTGAGGAAAGGAAGCAGGAAGTTTATTAGCAAAATAACAAAGTGGGAAAAGTACTTGTTAAAGTCAAGGGCACCTAGAAGATTTTTAATGTACATAATTTCCTTCCCTTTTTTTCCCTTTCCTTTTCTCTTTTCACCCTACCATTTACTTTGCTTCTCTCTTGAAGGGAAAAAGAAATCTTACGCTTTATTGGGTGTTCACTGAGAATCCTCCACCTTTCCATCTATGTGCCCCTGAGATAGCTACATGAGATATGAGCTGTATGAAAATGATGCTAATCAATTTCAGCTGTATTTTGCTACTAGTGCAAAAAGTGGATGTTTTGGTCATCTAAGACATTGTTATTGTTTTCTGCCTCAAATCTTATGCAAAAGCTGACCTAGCATTACGCAGGTCTTGTACATTCTCTGAGTGAAACAGTTCATTAAACTGGAGGCATTGGTCAGCTTCTGATTAATACTGCCTGCTGTTAGTACAGTGGGCTAGTGGGTTCTGTGAAACCAGACTCAGGCAGGGGAAGAAAAAACAAAAATTCATGGCCCAGCTGCAGGATTTGCCCACAGAGTTTGAAGAGTGCTTTTCTAGTCCTGTCCTGCCAGAGAGGTGCAGAGCTGAAAGAGATGGTGGGAAAAAAATCCAGGTAGATGAAGGTTTGATGGCTATTTGCAGAAAAAGAAAATTGTGAGTTGATGTAAAAATGCCTGTAGTCTTCCTCCACAATATAATAATAATAATCATCATCATCATCCTCATCATCATTGTTGAGGAGCTCCCAAAATCTAATGCTGCACCTTATTAATTTTTTGTTCCTAAAAACTAGCCCAGGACCTCATTTATTCCATACGCAAAAGTAGCAACAAGATTGGAAAAAAAAAATTTAATTATGATCATCTGAACTGCTTTGGAGTTTAATAGCCCATTAATGGTGATTGTCTAAAGAAAACATTTAAATTTCCTATTGTGTGCATGCAGTGGAAATGTTTCATGGTGAGATCTGGATAAATGTTTATTGTTTCATATCTTCATATCTAATGTTAGTTCTTGGATAAAGATTATATATATACATACATACATATATGTAGTGAAAGCACACACACACACAAGTAAGAATGTACCCAAGAGCTGTTGGATGTTGGATGGAGGCTTTGGTGTGTATTACAGCACACAGAAATTTTTGGAAATAGGTGTATATTATAGGTATAGGTATATATTAATAGGCTGGTATATATGTACATATTAATGTACATTAATACATCAGATTTCAGAGATATATTGATTTTATAACTCCTTTAAATGGATAATCTGGAATAATTCTGCAGTCTGTATCTATTTGGACATATCACCCAAAGGGGTAAAGATAACAGAATCAGGCTGAATTCTAGCCAGCCTGGGTTTAGTTTTGTTTTAATTTCTTCCTGTAGCCTAAAGCTTTGGCAACTTCTAGTGCGTTCAAAAGCAGAGCAAACCCCTCTTTTTATAGTAAACATAACTCCTGGTCTGGTGAAGAGTCACCAGCAGTGGGGGTTATTTTAATGGACATGCTGTATTACTTTAATCTAAGCCTTTCACCATCTGTTGTGCCTATAATAGTGAATGCGAAAAGAGCGTATTTTACATTTCAGGATTACATTAGTAAAATGTAAGATAAAAGTGATTTAAAAGCATGCATATGTTCCCAGTACAATGCAGTCAGCATCTGTGGTGTTTTTTTCCTCATGGCTGAGACACAAATCAAGAGGAAAGCTGCTAATGCTGATGTAGTGAAAGTTTTTTGTGGAAAAGAGGACTCTGTGAGGGTTTCACCATATATTTAATGTTTATAATGATAAAAAACTGAGCAGGCTGACAGAAAATTATGTATCTATAATATCTATTGTTTGAATGTCTTGGGTGGTGTGTGGAGCAGGCTGATGTTGCTCTGTATGACAGGATGAGTTCTCAGGCCAGTGAGACACCTGTAGGAATGGAAGGTCAGCAAAAGAAAATCACACAAGAAATATCAAATTGTCTACTGGTCTAATATACTTCCATGGGCTCTCATAAAGTAAGCTTTTCTCAGATCTGGAATTTATATCTTCTTCCTATTTCCTTGCCTCTTTAGCCCTTCTGAAGTTTTTCTTGGGGTGAAAATGCATCAGTAATGGCCCGCAGACCCTTTTTTGTCAGCGCTAATCCTGCTGGTGTGCGCTCACTGTGATGGTACACTGGATTAGCATTCTAGAAGACATTTCTAATTTTCAGAAGTGGAAATTCATTTTCCAGGGACCAGCTAGAGGACTATTTAATGTATGAGTTTTTTTGGGGTTTTTTTTCTGCCGGAAGACAATTCAGAAATCACCTGAAGGGATTTCAGATATTGCCGGTCTGAAGTTCTTAATCACTATCCGCTGATTAAACTTAGTCAAAAATCCAAAAGTAAGAAATTACTTTTTCCTTTTGACTCCTGATAGAAGTCAGAAGGCAAAAATTAGCAGAAAATAAAATGCTTCTCCTGAGACATGACTGGGATTAAAAAAAAAAAAAACAAACCCTGATTTTAATTTGCCATAATTTTCATTAAATCTGATTCAATTTTTTATGGTCTTTCATCACTTGACATATGGGAGCCTAATTCTGACTTGAGAGATAGTGTTTCCACTCCCATTTCAGTAAAGCAATATCTTTGATCACCCTTTCATTTCTCCCCCCATCAACATGTCACACATGCCCGCACTTGAATTCTCCACCTGTCAACATCAGATTCCCAGAAGAGGCAGTGGCTGGACCGCAGCAGTGGAGGCAGCCTGAGGATGCCAAATAGAGATGTGGCTGGATTTAAAGGGAATTAGACATATTTTTGCCCTCTGTCTGCTTATGCTATACCTTAGGAATAAGTAGTCCTATCAAACCTTGGCAGAAAATGTGGCCCCCAAGTGATTGACTGCATTAATTTAATTCTGTCCATGGCCCAGCAGCTGCTGTGGGTCAGATCTCAAATAATCTTCATTTACATTGAGTACAAAGAAGATGAGTCGAGTACTGTTGGTCTTGATACATGATTATATGATATCACACAGTGCATTTCTGATATACTAAACGTAAACCCTTTGAGATAATTTCCCTTTCTTTAAGAAAAGTGCATGAAGACCTGTGCAATTGAGCCCTTTGTGATTAGGTTCAAGATAAAAGCAAAAATTGAGCAAGTTTTCAGTTAAATGAAGATATTCCCTTCAAGAGAAGTTAAGAAGACAAGAAGACACTTGCTGAAGTGTCTTTCTTAGAAAAAGAAAACTATAGAACTGTAGTAGAACATCTAGTAGAGGTACAGGAAATTAAGAGTTTTCAGTTTGAAAGATTCTCTGGCATTTATTATCATAATAAATTGTCCAAAAATAGAAATTTCATTATATTATTTTTGGAAATTAATTTTCCTTGTCTTCCTCATAAAAGAAATAAATACAAGGAGTTTTGTTTTTAATAAGAAAATAAATGAACTCTTATACTATATATATATATAATGGTATTTGGGCTTATGCTATATAATATCTCTGCTTAACTTTTAAAATTAAAAAATCTGGTTTATACAAGCCAAGTCCAAAAAGAGCACTAAAAAATCCTAAAATTAAGAACAGATAAAAATTTTCTTATTTTTTTTTTGACTTCCCACCCAAGATAAATTTTACTCTTAATCTTGTTAATAATTTCTAATTTTTTATATTAGAAACTTAATTTTATAAATACATTTTTGTCAAAAGGCTTGCAATAATTCAGCTGTTACTTCTGAAGTTATCCTTGTGACTAAGCAGCTTGTAAACATGAGATCTGAAAGACAACAGAAGAGTTAGATGCTCCAGTTGATCACAGAGCACTGTGATGACTGAATAAAGTTCCTGATTAGTGTATGTTGAGATACTGGAATTTAAAAGAACTCTTTTGTGGCTCTGTAACCATCTACCCCTTGTGAAAATTCCTATTTGTCCTTTTATATCTAAAGTGTTGTGATGAGTATCATGCTACTAACTTTCTGAGCTCCTCCATGTCTACTGGTGGGCTTTTTGCCTGTGGGTATTCTTCTGATAACTAATAACAAAATATAATTGACTTCCTCAAAGCCATGACCCTTTCTTTGTTTCCTTTAAATAACCCTTTGTGTTAACAAACAGTATTCACAAATATCAGCTGGAATACTGAAGAAATGCCCAATTAAATGCCAAAAACACTACTGATGTTGCACAGATGGTTTAAGTTTCTGTAAGTCAAACATCTGGTCAGTACTTTCGATTGGTAAGTGCATAAAACCTTGATCCTAGCTGATAATGAGGAGTTTCATAGCAACTTAATCTAATGAAAAGGAAGGTAACCTTATGTTAGGTCTATTAAAAGAAAAAGCAGAATGGGCATATGGAAGGTGAGTGATGGAACAGGAGAATTCCAGAGTTTCATGTTGTAATACATTGATTTGTGACATGAGTGTGCAGTGCTGAAGAGGTGAGCATGTACAGCTTTGGTCTCATCCCAGTCCATAATCATGGGTGAAATTGATTTAAAAATGTTCCGTGAAGTTTGACAGTTCCAATAAATAAAAAGATTTAAAAATGAGATAGCTAAATCCTAGGAGGTTTAGTAAGCATTCTTTTCCTCTCCCAAAAACCATCAGAAAGTTTGAGACATTCATTATGAATATCTAAAAACTGGTGGCATTTAACTTAACCCTTACTTCTCTCTAAACAAATGCTTATGCTCCTGACTGATTTTCCAGCTGCCTGATAGCAGCTTTTCTGTGTTGGGAGGGCTCTGCTTAATTGAGGGTGCCAAATGCCCAGTCTGCCTGCTTTGGCTAGCAGTCACCTTTACTGGTAAATAGTTTCTGGATTTTTCTTGTTCCCACATTGCAATAGAGTGGTGATTTTTAGCTTCCTGCATATCTGCCATCACTTTAAAGCTTTACCCTCTTGTTGGTAGTCTGGGGTTTACAAGAGGCTTTCTTTTCCCTACTAATAAGAGGAAAGAAGTTCAAAGATTCAACTCCAAGAAAGAAAAAAAAAATCAACAAACAAAATATGAGGAAAAGAGTGAACCCATAGAACAAAACCCTTCAAATACATTCTGTTTCAATTTGACATGTGAGAATGCTCCAGGCGCAGTGTTATTTCAGTCCCTTTTGGAAGTGTTTTGCTGAAGTGCATTGGAGCACCTTGGCTGAGCATAAGCACAGCTTTCAAAGCAACAAGAAAAACCTGGACATATTAAAAATATATTGAATTGCAACATTGATGTTGCTGAGCCCAGTATTACACATCATAAAGGAGATGGCTGTTACGGGCCGACATGGGATGTTTTAGACTTTCATGGGATGTTTTAGACTTTCCTGTCATCTGTGAGCTCATTACAGAGTGTTGTACAGGAAAGGACCAGGAGCCCAATCGGGAGGTGCAGACATGTGGCCACGCTCACAAAAAACACACTATCACATCCATGCTCTGCCTTCCCAGCACAGCTACTCGCAGATTTCACCCAGGTGTGGTAATTTCCTTGCTGCCTCTCCTGTCTTGCAGTATTCTGGATTTCACACGGAGAGATCCGAGTCTGACCACGAGAGCCAGTGGGGTGGGAGCCCACTGACCGATACGGCTTCTCCCCAGCTCCTGGAGCCTGCGGACAGGCCGAGCTCGCAGCACCACGACGTTTCCTGCGCCTACAGACAGTACTCAGACCGCAGCACGCTCTGCTACGGTTTTGCGCTGGACCACTCGAGGCTGACTGATGACAGGCATTTCCACACTCAGGCCTGCGAAGGGGGCAGATGCGAAGCTGGCCGCTATTTCCTTGGCACGCCGCAGCCGGGGAGGGAGAGCTGGTGGGGTTCTCGTGCGGCACTGCCTCTGACTAAGTCATCTCCTGAGAGCAGGGAAGCGTACGAGAACAGCATGCCCCACATAACATCAGTGCACAGGATCCATGGTAAGAGACAACACKGATTCGCACAAGCAGCTCAGATAAAGCAGCATGACAGAAACAAACAGCTGTTTATATGAAGGATGGAAAGTTAGATGGTTTTGATGTATGTTCTTGTCTCAGAGATCACATCTGTGGAGATGAGGAATACTTAAAATTTGAGTTTTACAGTCTGGCGTACATGCAGCAAAATATAATTTTGCTGTATTTTCATCAATCTGTGAAATTAAGGTGGATACATGACTAGTGAGATTTTAAGCATGATCTTAATGGAATATATTTAGCAAAAATTTAGATTTAAATCCAAGCTAGGCATTAAAACATCTTGAAAACCTTTGAAGAAATTGTTCTTCAAGTGACATTTTCTCTACTTATCATTACTAGATTCTGTATGATTTGATGATTATATAAAGTTGGCTATTGAAATTAACAGTAATTTTTGATTTCAGACATTTATCCTCAGTTATAATTTTTAGCTAGTTTTAATATCTCCATCCTTTCAGYACCAAGCCTGGAATTTCATTTGGTTTCTGACAGGTTGCAAACTCAGTGTGCATTAGTACATTTTCAGAGGCTGAAGCTAATAAAAAAATCCACGGTGAAAGCCTGATATTGGGTTTGGAAAAGTCCAAAGGTCCTTGGTTTTAAAACTACAGGTTGAATCTTGGAAGACAGTAACTGGCCAAAAAGTCAGAATTCAAGGCTGAAAGGATGGATGCAACATCCAAAAAWTAAAGTTTTTCTACTAAAATAATCTATCAAAACAAATGTTGCCTCTAATGAACTCATACAAGTTGATTATATTGGTACTACTCCATTGATTTGTAGAAAAAGGCTTTGTAAACAAAGGAGAGCTGTTCTGTTTTACTCCAATCTGAGGTAAGTTATGTTGAGAATAGAAATAAAATATTAAATATTAAGTTATACGAAATACAATCAGATGAAAAACAGGAAAGGAATGGAACAGAAATTTTTCTGATGAGGGTTGTTYACTTTTCCTGTCAGAACATGCCTCCTTCCTTGTGCCTGTTCTGTACTTCTGGCCTATTTGTGTTTTTGTAGCATTTTCTTCTSAAAAAAAGAGAACCTAGTAAAATATGATAATTCTGCTGGCAAATTTTATGCATGATAATTCTTGCTGAGCATAGCAATATCATACTGAGGTACAAATTCAAAAGGGTTAGATATTTATTCTGTCCCTCTATCAAGGATAATTAATACAAATGGATAATATAGTTTGGTTTAAGTGTGTGGTTTGGCTTTGCTGTGATTCCAGGTGCTGAAGTTATTTTCTTTATTGTATCAAATCTTACATTTTTCAGCAGGTCTTCAGTCTGTATGTTGCTTTGGGGGAAAATCCCGACTGGTCCTGCCATTTTGGGTCCAGATCTTAAGAGGATGTGAAGGATACATTCATGCCCATAGTACTCCACAGCGCAGTACTTCTCCCAGAAATGACAAGATATTTTTATTGTAAAATCCCATCACTGATTTTTGTAGTTWACTCCGCAATGCAGTGGTAGTGATCTGCAACCCAAACAGATCTGTATGCCCTGACCCAACACAGAACAGGGGAAACTTCTTGTGCTCGTTTGAAAATGGGTTTGCTTTGAGGAGTACTGTCAGCCAACCCAACGTGCTTCATCCCTCAAGAGGACTTTGTGTGTRTTGAGGCAAAGGCATCAATAAGTGACATGTGCAGCTCCCACACGTGTGGGACTACTACCACTACAGGAACACATCTCAGCAAATCAATCCCTTTATCATAATGTTGAACRATCAGGCTTTGGGGCTACTCATTTTCTTCCTAGTGAGGACTGACAGGTCTTCTGTCCTTTCAGCTACTTGCAAGCTGAACCTGTTCTCTGATATGTATATCATACATATCCAATAAATAAGGCCCTATATCAGACAGCCTTATTTTTTAAAGGGAATTAATATTTTACCATAATAAAAGTTAATATTTTACCMTATCAAAAGCAAGTATTTATGCATGGGAATATGACATCACATTTTTAACAGTAAACCTGTCCAACAGCTATGAGTTCTTGAGCTTTTGAAGAAGAGTTCCTTCGTTACTTGTGGCTCTCTATTGTTGTGTAAGCTGCTTAAAGTCACTACACAACCACAAGCTATTTCTCAATGCTGTCTGTGTTCCAGCTCCTGGAAAGCCTAAGAAAACTTTATGGAATGTCGAACATTTGTAATTCCCTGAGATTTTTATTTTTGCCATGGCCCAAATTCATTCAGATCTTGATGCAAAGAGGTGTTAAGTGGCCAGGGACCTGAATACTGGCAATGAGGGCACTTTGACATGCCCTAGGATACCCTGCCAGGCCCCTACCTGCTCTGAAAGGCGGAGTTGTTTTAGAGTTGGTGCCATACCTGCTGGGCTTATGCAGATGCTTGACTACCCAAAAGTGTATCAGGTGGCACTGGATATCTGTGCTGAGGTGCTTAGATYTCTTTGTATATTTCCAGCTGTCTTACTTGTTCCATGTGGAGATACAGGAAGCTAGAGTTGGTCACTGAAAAGCAAGGGATCCACCGTGGTMATTTTTGGCAACTGTTACGTGTCTCCTCTGACTTGATTTTCTGTCAGTAAAATAAGGTTCAGATTACATTATCTTCAAGATCACTTGCCTCCTTAAACCTCAGCACTTGTCTCCTTTSTCTCTTTCCTAGGAAGGGGACACTGGGATGAGGACAGTGTCGTTAGCTCACCCGACCCTGGCTCTGCCAGYGAGTCAGGCGACCGATACCGTACTGAGCAGTATCAGAACAGCCCACATGAGCCCAGCAAAATCGAAACTCTAATAAGAGCCACCCAGCAAATGATTAAAGAAGAAGAAAACAGGCTACAGCTGCGGAAAACCACTCCTGACCCACTGGTCTCCATCAATGGCACGGGGAAGAAGCACGCTATCTGTTTTGCCAGCTACCCTCAGCAGCAGTTGGCAGCGGACGTCTGCCGCGTCCCGACGGTTGCCAACACTCCTCCCTGCGAACACATCCAGCAGCGAGACGGAAAGATCATGAGCCCGCATGAAAATGACTATGACAACAGCCCCACGACACTGTCTAGGATAAGTAGCCCCAATTCTGATCGAATATCAAAGTCTAGTTTGGTACTGGCTAAAGACTACCTGCATTCAGACATGTCCCCTCATCAAACCCAAGGAGACCACCCAGCAGCCTCTCCAAATTATTACAGCTCCCACAGGCAGTAYTTTGATAAGCATGCTTACACGCTAACTGGATATGCCCTGGAGCATCTATATGACASTGAAACAATTAGAAACTATTCACTRGGCTGCAATGGATCCCACTTTGATGTGACTTCTCACTTAAGGATGCAGCAAGATCCAGCACAAGGACACAAGGGAACATCTGTTATAATAACCAATGGGAGCTGACACTTTTTTTTCTAAAAACTTTTGTGCTTWAAAAAATAACCTTTGAGATCTAATTGGAGGATATTTTATGTTTTCATGCCCTTGTCCTTACCAGCATTTCATATACCACAGTGCACTAGAAAGAGGAACCTAAGGTTTGGGGGGATAAGCTAGTTAACATGCATTACTGAAAATAAAAATGCACTGGCATGCAGGGTTAGAGTGAATGGARCTAAACTCAAAGTCAGTGCCATGCATGCTGAGAAGGATAGAAGAGGTCCAGGCAGGGAGTGCTTGTGGCAGGCTGACAGAGCAGTTTATCCACATTGTGTAAGAGGTGTTGCTTGGAAACACTGCCAAGGGCAGATCTTCTGAACTGCATAGGTACCAGCCAACAGAACTGCTATGCACTCTTTTTACACAGGAAGCTGGGATGTGTTCCTTCAAAATACACACAAAAAAGTGTACTTCTGGTGATTTGTTTATTCCCCAAAGGCCAAGCATGTTATGCTCCTGTATGGTATAAAGCATCCATGGCTGGCTAATATAAAATCAAAAAAAGGGAGAAAGAAGAGAGAACTCCTCGAATTGCCATGTCCTTGTGTACTCACAAACATAGCTATTTACATATGCTTGATTTGAAAAGAGTCCTTATGATTAGTATGGTCAAATATTTACTTCTACTGCATTAAAAAGAGAGGGGTGTTCTCACTGTAGTTTTGAAAAATCCAAAGGCTTGCTTGTCTTGCTGTGAAGATGGGAGATGGTTCTCATGTTTTTGAAAGGTTGCCCATGGCAGGTAGTGGAGTGAAATGGAAGAAAATTGCCTGGAGAAACAGGAAGAATAGACTGAAATTAGCAGTGGTCCAAGATAAACAGTTAACCCTGTAGCTATGTATCCCATTTAGTAATAATAATAACATAAGGAAAAGGAGTTGAATAATTAAGAATTAATTTGAAACACAGAAGAAGCTCAATAGAATCATAGAAATATTGCTGTAAAATATAAATGCAATTGCATAAATGTAAAAACAAATGAGTCAAGAATAGGTAAAAACTGCTTGGTGGTTTGTCTAACTTCTGATAAGGTTTTGGAGTAAATTAAGAGCATATAGAGAATGGTAACTACTCTGTCTGAAACATGGTAAAGTAATAGGCATGACTTTGATAAAGAAATATGAATTCTTTTCTTGATTGCAGCAGATAATTTAATGAATATCAGAAAATACTAAGGACATCAAAATCAACCATATGTACCTAAAAAAGTACAGAGGGAAATCAGTGTTCCAAGGAATAAAATTGTATTAAGAATGCTGGTATTATCAGGGCTTGTCCTAGAGTTATATAAGACATCAAAAGAGGCAGAGAAACTTTTWAAAATTTTTAATAACCTCATGAACAAAGAGACTGATTAATTGGAAAAGAATAAATAAAGAACATATGCTAAAAATGCAAAATAGGGCATTTGTAGGCACAATTGCTAGACTTGTACTTTTTTGCATGGCATTTATATGGTCCCAAGGTTGACTGCAACTGACCACCKCTCCCTCTTATGCCAATGTGGAGGAAAGGGGACCTGAGGTGATTACTAAAATGTGATTAGCTCTAAGACTAGCTTCATTTGTAACATTCAGAAGCTCAACATATGGGATTGAGTCATCAATGGGACTAAATATAAACCAGCATGCTAYGGGTGGGTTAAAAATACTGTTTCCAAATAAAACTAATCAGAAGCAAAAGCTAAATAATAATATTACAAACCACGTAAGTAGAGACGTACTTGAAAGCAGAGGAAATTACCTCTCTGAACTTGGAATACTGTGCATAGTCCTGATCACTCCAAGGCAGATTGTGAATCTTGAATTGAGTAGTACCTTACTCCATAAGCGACCTTTGTTGACTGCAGTGTGATCGCTCCTGGTGAAATGCACGTTGAACACAAGGGAGAACAACACAGTCTGGTCTTTATTATCTAAACCTCGTAACAGAAAAGGTGGAGCAGAGCTCAGCAAAAGACAAAGAGGCTGAAAGATCTAATAAAAGCTTTAAATAAACTGGGTCTGTCATCTTTGTAAGGGAAAGGAGTAAGGGGTAATGTCACTGATGTGCACCAAACTCTGCACAGAGGAGAGATAAATAATGGTCTAAAACTATTTGAACTCCTGGCAGAAATGAGAGACAGGGCATTGAATGATAGCCAAGGCAAAATGAGAACAAAAAGATTTGGCAAGAAGTTTATTTGACCCATTGCCAAATGGATAATGAAGGTCATAAAGTGCAGCAGTTCGACTTTTTTTGTTTGTTTGTTTGTTTTAAGATAACAACAAGGCAAATAGTTGAGGGGAAGAAAAACACTGACAMCTGTTAACTCAGAGGAAGAAATGGACCAAAATGGACTTCTTTCAGCCCAACAATTGTATATATTCCTAAAGCATAGGAATAAGAAAGTATTTTTGATAAATTTAGTTCTGGWTACATATTTATTTCACTTGTTCCTATGAGTAATATGAATAAACTTGTACTTSGAGTCTCATTTTACAGTATTAAAATACATTTTGCAAAGCAAAATAGATTAGAGGTACATGGTATCATATTATCCCTACAAGTACATATAAAACCACATCTAAGTGTTAATATTATTTTGTATTACAGAAGAGTCTCCTAAACTGTTTGAATGAAATGGGGTTTTCTCAGCACTGAAGTTTCTTGGGATCACCAAGAACKCTTTACTATCAAGCTTTTAGTTAGAAGGCAACAGAGTTCGGCAGATCCCCTGCAGTTCTCTGCCTGGGGTCTACTAGCCACAAGTAGTCAGGAAACCAAGCCTTGGTGATGGTTGCATTTGCATTCTGACAGGCACCTTTGAAAAATAGAAGACCGATAAAACAATCAGGCACAGAATAAGGTGCTTGTACGCTGTATGACGTCACCCTGGAAAAAAAGCCAGTGTGCTATGCAATAAAAGTTCCCCATCCTCATTTACAGTAATCCCAAAATAAGACTTCCAAAACTATAGTTATTTATCTTTTTGTGATCGTTCTAGTCCACTACAAATGCAAAAATGCACTGTAATGAATGGAATAAATCAGTAGAGATRTCTCTACATGCAGCCATGTTGTGCTACAAGCAAAGGCTGATGCTCTCTCTCCTCATGGGATTACAGCAACAACACTTCAATACAGTGTGCCAGAGATGGATGTCTTTTGTCAGCTTGTTTGCTATCCTGCTTCTTTACATAGCCAGGAATTTCTTTTTAATTGACAGAAAGCATTGAGTTTTGCAAACATAGACTTTGTATGCTACACAAAAGCAAGTCTGCAATCTTAATTATAGCATATAATATCACTGCAGCTCATATTACATGTGCTTTTCAATATGGTATAGAGCTTATTTTTTCCATTACATATTTATGTAATTCAAATTTTCATTTAGTATCCTTCAAGGATATATTGTTTTTTTTTATGTTTCTTCCTTTTTCAAATCAGATGGGAAGAAATATCTTGCAAAATTGAAAAATGCAAGGCATTTGAACCAAATAAGTTTCAAATGTATTGCATTATCTAAAGGTTATCACTTTAAATAAGGTATGTATGTTGTGTTTTGGAACAGAAACAATATAAATTGCATCATTTCTCTGACAATGCTGGTTTGCTATTAACATGATATTAATATTTTTACAATTAATGCAAAAACAGAGTGACCACAGCTCTTTCRAACCATTTCTTATTGATGTCAGTGGATGGCACATTATGGTTTTTGTGCATTACAATTTTAGTATATCTCTTTTGTTTTAAGAAATAAAAAGCCCTCTAGTCTTTACATGAAATCACACCCCATTGGCATAGAGTTTGTGACTTTGGATGAATTTACAAAGYAATTCTTAAATTAAAAGAACCTTACTTGGCAATTTTTCCCATTGATTCAAATGGGAATATTTGTGGAGTAAGGTACTGCTTAATATGTGCAAGGGAAAGAAAGCTGACTTGTGATAATAGGTTTGGGKTTTGTTTTGAAATTCCTTTTTCCTTAAATCTCAATGTGTGAATATGGAACCATGGAAGATAATAGCTCTATGGCTGTATTTCTATAAAAGAGGTTATTTGTGTTTTAAAAAAAAATGAATACATCTCTCCCAACTGAAGAGCCCCAGAATTATTTCTTCAGCTTTAAATGGCTTTTGTTGATGTGTCTGMAATATTGCTGTGGGTTACACAGTGAAATTCTGCTCTTTTAATCTCTTTTAATCACTGTTATCTGAATCTCATTTTTGTCTCTGCACATGCAGCATTTTTCCATCAATGTCCCTAAGTATGTTAACCACCATATGTTCATTCATATGAGCATGCTGAGTGAGTTGGAAAAAAATAAAAKGTCCCATAGTATTTCTGGAAAAGGCACAGCCACCCCAGAAAATCAGCCTGGCTGCAAAYCAGCCTTTTCCAAAGGTCAGATAACCTTTCAGTCACGGAACAGAGCTGTGCCATACGCATTGGTTTCAAATCTTCTGCATACAAACCTGTATGTAATGAGGATTACAGCACACAGTTCCAGGATTAGACCTAGCTATGTCTATTTTAAGGTGGCTATAGTTAATATCTGGCAGCAAACAGATTCAGGCTCTGGTGTTTCCATGAGTTCCAAGTTTACTTAAGCACCTAAGAGCCTAAAAGCAATGCAGGTTTTGTTATTAGGAACRATGGTGGATGAACATCCTTTCCTGTAGGTGTACTGGCTTAACTCCAGATAGCTCCACAGTGTGGTGAAGAACCTATTTTATTTAATTTGCARTTAGTATTGATGGTTAAATATTTCAGCTGTGTGCACTGAGAAGCAAAAAAACCCCAAACCAATTAAAACCTTAACTAACCCCCAAAACAGCAACAAAAAAAAAAAGCAAATCAACCCCCCTCAGATTTCTGTAAYCCTTCGGTTTGGTGTTTTTAAAGTCTGCTAGAGGTGCAGCTGAGGATTTAGCTGTTATTTTGTAGACCAAAAAATGAAATAGTCTTCTGTTCAGAAAAGTGACAGCACTAGTGTGATTCCATTTCACATTTCCTTAGGGTATTTATTAGTGAAAAAGAAATGGTGTGAGGTTAAACTTCACTGTGGCATTTAGCTTATGTATRCAAGAGTTCTGTAGATAAATCTGGCTCTAAGTTGTTAGGAATACATCCCTTTTTGAAAAGAGTTAATTTATGACTCCATCTATGAAGCTGTATTTGAAAGGAAAGATCAAATACAGGATGAAAAAAAGCTTTTTGTCTGGTTGCATCCGCTATTGAACTCCTGGCTCACACAAAGTTCTCAATCTTTCCTGTTGTTCTGGGATTCCAAATGCCATTTTAAATACTTTTATTTATTACAATTTGGACTGCATTAATTTTTTTTTTTCCTTTTCAGCTACTGATACAGTGGGAAGTTACAAAATGCAAGAAACAATCTTTTTCACATAATAGAAAATGTTAGCACTTTTACATTCTAAGGAAAAAAAATCTATTAGAAAAAGTATTTTTAGGGCACTGCAACTTTTTCCCAAGGTATATATTTCAATGCATAAAATATACTAATTTAACAATAAAAAAAGCACTTGAGACATGATGAAGATATTTCATGTTTGCTTTAAACCAATGGTTACTTTTCTGGAAAAAAAGACACAGATTGCCAGTGTTTCAAATACCATGCTTTGCAATGTAAAGGGTCTAGTGGCATTGTAGCATAACATCTGTAGTTTTCCTTTGGAATGTAATGTAGAAAATATAATTTAGCTATGTCAACAATATCTTGCAAAGTGTTCCCATTTATAATTATTTATATTGTAAATAGCTTTCTGAAGTAAATTTGAAGTTAATGTGCATAAGATGTATTTATTATGTGAAGATTTTTTTTTTGTTGTTTAAAATATAGCTGCCAACATACAATTTTTGTCTGTTTTTTTAGATTTTTAAACTAAGGATTGCCCTATATAGTATATATTTTCAGGAATCAATTTTAGTCAATTGGAGTATTTCTTAGCAATGGGAGGGGACAGGGTAAAGTAATTTGTTTTGGTTCCTGTGAGTCCTAAGTGCTCCCTCAATCTTGAATGAAGTTTATCAAAATATGAAGGGACATTGATAAGATACTGCTACCTCATTCAAGATGTCTGAATCTGCTCAAATACTATTCTTTCAGGAAGAAATTAATTAAGATTAATGATCTACTGTGTAAATAATCTGCCTTGTTTCTTGGAGCCTTCTACCACCTTGTGCCTCAGCTAAATCAGCTCGCTGACTTGGAGCATGATGCCCATTAGGTGCTTAAATTGCTATGCTCAAGGAGCAGTATTCTGACACAGGAATAGGTGAGAAGTTGTGCTAAATTGTGCTCAGACCAGAGAGCTGGCTGTGACCTGGGGTTTTGAGCTTGGACGGTTCAATTGACCCAGAGTAACAGGAACTGCTGTGTGGCAGCTGAGCTGCTGCAACCTTTGCCTGCTCTGGGGTTGGTTTAGGTCTTTCTGAGCTCGAGCTCTGAGTCACAAYTCTTACATTCTAGACCAGTTTCTGAGCCATCAAACCCCATCCTCTCAGGCACTGTCACCATTCTCTTCCCTGCAGGGAACTAACGCAAGACAGATGGTCTCAGAGAGCAGTGGGATGCTATGGTCAGGTGAGAGAGCAGCTTTCTCTGGAGAGAAAGTGATTGTTCATGTGTTTCCCACGCACCAGACAGAGCAAATACATGAGCAGCAGGGATRGGTGGGATAACAGAAGAGTCAGTTTTGAGTCTCAAGTAAATTAATTGCATAAAATGGAGATGCAGTTTTGTCACCGGTCCTGTGCTCCTGCAAGGATGAAGGCACATGGTTCTTAGAGACACAACTGGGATTGGGGAATACTCTGCAGCACTGAGTTGGAAGTTTAAACTACATTCATGATGTTAGCATTTGCTATGGGGTAATTTAAGTAGTTCCCCTCTTGGCCTGAATTTTGGTCCTAGTTCTCAGGGAGGTAGGAAATGGTGTCATGTTTTCACCAAACTATGCTGTGCAAAACATGCTTGCTTTTTCTTTTCTTTTCTTTTCTTTTCTTTTCTTTT